CTTCCACATGGCTGATCATGGTTTGAGTCCCGGACCTGGTGGCTTGTTTTCTCACTTCCCCTCTCTTTTTCTGTCCCTCTAGTAAAGTTAAAATAAATAAATGAATAAACAAACAAATTTAAAAAAATATGCTAGGAAAGACTGCCTATGAACATGTACATCTATGTCTGTATATATTATATGAGCATGGTGAGAATGCAGGTAGTATACAAAGCTATTAATTTTGAGGTGGAGTGGATGAAGTGGAGAGGAGTGACATGGGATGGGGGAGCAAACAGAACATTGTAGTAACTGTCCTCCTAGGATGTGACATGGATGTGAAAGTGTATCTTTGTTTTGCATTCATATAAAAATCTGAAAATAAATTTTAAAAAATGTCAACAGGATTATGTGGCTGAGTTCAACTCTTTCTCTGGTTTTACAATTGCTTTAATTATCTGCTAGTCAGAGAGAAACAACCTAGATCAGCGATTATCTTTAGGATATTTGCAGATGCAGTGAAATCTCATACCAAATTTTCTGAAGTACTCTTTATGGTTAATCAAAACTTCTAAATAATAATGAGTATGCTTAGATCTGGGCTTCAGAGAGCACTTCAGGAGCTTCCAAAACCCCTTCTCAGGGTCCTGAGCAGGAAACGTCAAATTTACCTTGCAGTGCTAGCAATCACACTTGATCTAAAGTGCTACGGTGAAAGCTGTCTTTGCCTTCCCCTTCATAGTAGTTTAGGACCTTCAAGGGATCTGGTGACCCCGGTGGAGGAAGGGGAAGATGTCACAGGCACATCCTTTCTACACCAAAGGCATCCCCATGTGTGGGCCCAGAGAACTTTTGAAAAAGTCCAGTTGTGTTCCCATTTGAGGGTGCTAACCATACACCCCCCCACACACACACTTAGAAGGGCACATGCTTTAGATGTTCTGCTTTGGTTTGGAAAGTACGGTTCTTGCCTATCCTAAGCGCTTGGATTTTTTGCTTGATGTTTTGTTCCCACTAGCTTTTGTTGCATTCAAGTGGGCAATGGCAGATGGGGTGTTTAAGTAGGTGAGAGGGAACATTTCTTGACTAAATCTGATTCTTTCCCTCATTCACAATAAA